AAAAAAAGATTGTTTGGGACTTTTTTGTTTTCCTTTAGCCTCATACATTTATCAAATTGTTCCCATCACCAGCTTTTGAAGAGTGTATCTTTTCTCATCACCTTGGCATATTTACCAAAAATTAATTGAGCATGTATACAGGTCTATTTGGGTTCTATCCTGTTCCACTGATCCAGTAAGTGTTGAAAGTAGGAAGTGTATGGACTCCACCTTTCGTCTTCTGTTGCAGAATTTCTTGGGGTGTTTCAGATCATTTGCATTCACATAAATTTTGTAATCTGTCAGTTTCTACAAATAAGCCTGCTAGGATTTTGAGTGGGATTGTGGTGAATCTGTAAATTAATCTGGGAAGAACTGATATCTTAAAAATATGACATATTCATTGGTTTAATTCGGTCTTCTTTAATTTCTTTGTATAGTGTTCTATAGTTCTCAGTAGACAGGTCTTAAATATATTGCATCAAATTTATACATAATGAAGGCATATTTTTGGATACTTTTCTAAGTGATATTTTAAACATTTTTGCTTTCCCATTATTTGTTGTTAATATACAGAAATGTGATACACAGACCTTTGTATGTTGACATTGTATGCTGAAATTATGCAAACTTCTTAATTTAAACAGCCATTTTGGTGAATTCCTTAGTAGTAGTTTTTTCATACTATGCCGACTACAAATAAAAGAGTTACATTGTTCTTTTTTAAAAATTGTGCTAAAATATACCTAATATAAAATTTACTACTAGTGATATTTAGCACATTTACAGTGTTGCACAGCCATCATCACTGTCTAATTCCAGGACATTTTCATCTTCCCAAGAGGAAAGCTCACACTCATTAAACTGTCACTCTCCATTTACCCTTCCCTCAAAACCCAGGCAACTACTGATTTGCTTTATGTCTATAGATGTGCTGGACTCTGGATATTTTACATAAATGCAGTCATACAATATGTAGCCTTCTGTGTCTGCCTTCTTTTACCCAGCATAATGTTTTCAATGTTATCCATGTTCTAGCATGTATCACTGTTTTATTTCTTTCTTCTTCACTTATGTTCTTTTTTCTTTATTATCCATCTTATTTGATGAGACGTTGTATCTTGTTTTATTTTTAATCTGTGTGTCTCTTTTCCTTTTCTTGCCATACTCTGCTGACTTGGACCATCAATACAGTGTGGTATAGAAACAGTGAGAATGAATTGTATATGTGTACCACATTTTTATCAATTAGATTGCTTCCATAACTTGGCTATTATAAGAAAGGCTGCAATAAACGTAAATGTGAATCAGTCTTTTCAAAGCAGTGTTTTCACTGTTTGGGGGGGGGGCAGGTAAATTGCCCATTAGTAGAATTATTGGATCATACTATATTTCTATTTTTAATTTTTAATTCTATTTAATTTAAAAATTTTCTCTTCTTCTCTTTTTCTTATGTTAGTCACCATACAGTATATCATTAGTTTTGATGTAGTGTTCCATGATTGATTGTTTGCATGAAATATCCACTGATCCATGCCCTCCTTAATACCTACTACCAGGCTCACCCATCCCCCCACCCTCCTCCTGTCAGAAACCCTCAGTTTGTTTCTCAGAGTCCATAGTCTCTTATGGTTTGTCTCCTGTATTTTTAATTTTTTAAAAAGTCTCCATACTGTTTTCCACAGTGACTGTACCCATTTATAGTCACACCAAAAGTGATCGCCAGTGACTTTTTTCTCCACATCTTTGTCAACACCTGTTATTTCTTGAGCTTTTTACTTTAGCCGTTCTGACAGGTGTAAGTTATTGCTAAGTGTTATCTATTAAAATGCTTGCTGAGAGAATGTCTAATACCACTTACTTTTACATTGCCAGAGTCAGAAGTAATCAGTTTCTTTTATTTTTACTTGAATCAATTTTCAGATTAAATTTTAATTATACAAGTATTATTTAATACATTCTCCCAGTAAAGCAATAATGAGAAAGTTAACATTTCCTTTTAGTAACTCCTAACCTTCGTCTTTCTTCCTTCAAATCTAACCAATATTGTCAACTTGGTACATGGCATCTTAGGTACTTTTTATATTTATGTTTGTTTCCTTCGAAAAGTTGTAATACTACTTATTTTTAGGTTGTGTATGCTTTTAATAGCATAGCTCAGAGTGCATTTATTTCTAATTCACTTGACTTTTTAAAAATAGCAAACAGTAGTAGTAGAGGTGTATCTTATTAGTACAAACAAATCTAGCTCATGTTCTTTACATGTCATGGTACTATTTTCAGCAAGAATAGAGATTGATCCTCAGTAGCTCATCTTCTGGAGTTCCTGTAACTGCTTTCCATTTTTTTTTTTCTAGGCATTTCCAGCTACCCTGAGATGTTGCTCTATTTCTCTCTTCCTTAGGTACACCTCTTGCCTGGAGACAGACAGACATCCATTTTACCCCCGATGGTTACCCAGGGCTTTTTTTTTTTGTCTCTCGTTTTCACCACGTTGATATGGACCATTATTTGTGTTGTTCTCATCTATTATGTACTTGGAACTTGAATACATTGTGCTGCTCTTTCCTCATTCATCTTCCAGAGGCTCCTCATAATTTCTGGTTCACGGAAATCTCCCCAGCTATATTTTTTAGTTCAGCTCTTGGTTACTTTTATAATTGTCTTTGACAAATACTTTGTTTTGAGAGGGAGGATACACTAGATTATGTGCTTACTTTACTATACTGGAACCAGTAATTACTTCCCTCTACATGAATTTTTCCTTCTTTGGTTTTATGAGAATCTAGGATAAAATAAACCTTTGTACGTCTGCCCGACACTCTTGTTGAGGACATATATATTAGGGAGCAGTAAGATGATTGAGCTAGAGACTGTTTCTAGTATCTCCTCCTTTCTTCCTAACTTTGCTTCCATTCAATAATACCTTCTTCATTTTGACATGGATTTGCCTTGCCTTTTCTTACTATTCTTTTTTTTTTTTTAATTTCTTTTCAGCATAACAGTATTCATTGTTTTTTGCACCACACCCAGTGCTCCATGCAATACGTGCCCTCCCCAATACCCACCACCTGGTTCCCCCAACCTCCCACCCCCTGCCCCTTCAAAACCCCCAGGTTGTTTTTCAGAGTCCATAGTCTCTTATGGTTCACCTCCCCTTCCAATTTCCCTCAGGTCCCTTCTCCTCTCCATCTCCCCATGTCCTCCATGCTATTTGTTATGCTCCACAAATAAGTGAAACCATATGATAATTGACTCTCTGTGCTTGACTTATTTCACTCAGCATAATCTCTTCCAGTCCCGTCCATGTTGCTACAAAAGTTGGGTATTCATCCTTTCTGATGGAGGCATAATACTCCATAGTGTATATGGACCACATCTTCCTTATCCATTTGTCTGTTGAAGGGCATCTTGGTTCTTTATATTCACGTGATAAGTTGCAGTCTGTTAGCCAGATTTAGAGTTCAGGCATCATTAATAAAACTATAAAATTTCTCTTTCGCCCACTATATACCCTTCTCAGAGGACTTTGTATTTGCCTTTGAACTGTTTTCAGCCTGTGTTGTTGATTCAGACATTAGAAATGGAAAATTTTTTCAGACCTTTTAACAAAAGTATTTTTCCTCTGTTACAGTCTTGAATTTGGCTTAGTGCTCTCATTTATAGTATATCAAATACTGTTGTGTACAGTATATGAAATAATGAAATGTGGTCTAACATACAACAATAGCTCAGTTCCCTTTCGCATTTTAATTAAGTTGTGATCTTTTGGGAGCCTGACAGAAATTAGGTAAAGGTGGTTTCTTTATAGATCTTTCTGACAGGCAAATAAATCATACTGAAACTTTTCTTGTATACTGGGCCACCATTTGGTATCTTAAGATGTATTCATGGAAGAGAAAGTGATATAATGCCCAGAGGCACCAACTTGGGAAATTAAACCTAGAAATTTGGCGATCTTGGTTCCACATCACAATCTAATGGAGATTATTTGGCAAAAGGTTCTTACAGAGATTCTGTCTTATTTCATTCTTATCACTGTGCATACAGACTTTGCAAGTATGTTTAGTAATTTCCTTATGTATTTTGTTAATGTAATTATAGTACCTAATAGTGTCACTGCTAGGGAAATCTAAAAAAAACATTATGCTTTGGCAACTTGGAAAAGTTGCTGCTGTGTAAAATCTGATGCTGGGAATGGGTATATGGACAGAAGCATTATTTTTCCCTCTTCTTCTCAAGAAACTCTTTTCTGCCATCACAGAATGCAATTTTGTATACCCAGAAGGGATCTTAGCAATTATCAAGAAGTTTTTTACAGGTGAGAAAACTGAGACCCAGAGAGGTAAAGAAAGGTAAATTGGTGTAAGGTTAATTAAGGTTATAAAGAGTCCTGTATCTCCATGCTAGCCTGCCCTGCATTTTTCTGATATGTGTACAGTTTTACCTGTATATCACATATATTCCTACACATCTCTTTCAGAAAGCCAAAAGTATCTCTCTCTGAAATTTTCTTCTTCTAATACAGCTGAAATTTAGTTGAGGCTTTTCTGGTTGCCTATGAATTTATTCTTCTCCCCCATCCTCTTGTACTTTTCTTGAGTACCTCAATAGATGGTTTGGCAGCTTCTTTATTCTTAGTAGAGTCCAGATGGAATCAGGGATTAAAGACCTGGGAAAGTTGTCATGAATGGCATTATTTTTTCCTCACATTCAGGAAAAGGAATAGGGTGCCAGATTTGTCTATTGAATGACTTTTTGCTAAATTTTAAATTTAATTTGATAAAATCAATGGAATGGAGGCTTTTTTTTTTTTTTTTAATTCACAAGCAGTTATTCCTTGAAAATTTGTTTTTGTCTTTGTGGGTTTGTTTTTGGGAAGGGAATGAGAAGAGGAGAGCAGTGGTTATTTTCTTCCTAGCTAAAACTGAATTTATATTTTTGTGTTTTACTCAAATATGAAATTTGTTAAATAAATCCAGAACTGGTAATAACTAATATCATGCATTTTGATACAACAGGACAGACATGATTCTGCTGATGATCAGAGTATTTGTCATGTGTGGCACATGGATATAGAAGCTCTTCCAGAATGGATAAACTGCCTAATACAAAAAGTAAGTTCCTTAGTTTCTGAGTAAAATTAGGAATTTACGACTTCCAGGATTTTTTTAGAGCTATTTTTCTTGAATGCATTCTTTCAAGAGATAAGAAAGGGTCTGTAACTCTTGATTACACCTACTGGCTTCTTCCTTATTACTGGAGAGCTCCAGGTACTTTTCTATCTCAGACTTTAAAACATGGTATTTCCCCTTTCTTGATTGCTCTTCCCACAGTTATTTACTGCTTCCCTTGTTTCCATGTATCTTTACTCACAATGAGGCATTGCCTCTGCAAACTGTCAGTTCCCCTACTCTGCTATTATCACCCCACACTTCCTTTCTCCTCCTCTCTGATTTAAATAGCTATGTTTTACATACACACACACATACAATATGTAATGTATAGTACTCATAAGCATACATGAGCATATATGACCTATAACAATATAGACATAAATACACACACACACACACACATGCATGCATGCACACATGCTTACCCACATACATATATGGCTTACCGGTCTTGTTAATTGCCTTGCTCCCCTACCAGAATAAAAACTACATAAAGTCAGAAATTTTTCTCTTTTGTTTATTACTGTTATCTCCAGCACCTAGAACAATGCCTACTGAGTAAATGAAATATCCTATATTATTCATGTATGCATATGTGTATAAACTAAACTGGATAATTAATGATTCTCAGTGGTACAATCAAAATCAAATTACCAAATTTTTAAGACTCCTTAATGAAATATTATAAGAGCAAGAACTCACCTTGTTAACAATATGATATTATTATTTCTCACATTTTGAAACACGCATTGAAAAAGTGTTAAATAATATGATTTTTGAAAAAAATATAGTTGCCATTCTCCCCTGACTTTTTTGTTGTTGTTAAAAAATAACATTTGGTAGATATCCTCTGCATTCATTCTCACATTGTAATGATTTCCTGGGAACAAGCCAGTGCCCTGGCTTTCACTGTCCTGAACTTTACAAAATGTATGAGGGTGCTACAGATATTCCACTGTCTCTCCTGAAAAAAATAATTTTAAGCCAGTTCATTATTAATTTCACACTTGCATATAAAAAATGCACTGTTATGTATGCAACCAGTATCTTTTGGTTGTATGTAAAAAGGCAGGAAGAGCTTTATTCTGTTGGTTGGGTAAGGTTCCCTCCCACAGTGTTTGGTATGCAAGAAGGGTATCAAAACAGACACTTTTCTGTGAGATTTTACTTGCAAATTAAGCTCTGTAGACTGATTTGCTTCCTGGTTCCATAGTGTATTTTTCTTTTCATTAGTTCACACTGTATCCATATTCCGCCTATTGTTTGAGAGATTCTTTTAGAATGCTTGGGAGTATTGTTGGGGTGGGCTGATGTGCAGTATGTTATCATTCTAGAACTTTGGGGTTGCTTATCTCTGTTTATTAGAAGGCTTGTTTCCTTTTACTATTCTGTCTACCAATCAGAAAACAGAAAGCTAGCCTTTTCTGTGGCATAGAAAACTTTCATGTGGTTGGCTTTAAAAAAAAAAATACAGCTCACATTCTGTTTGATTACTTTACAATGAAAGCATTGTCTTACTTTCCTTTATTACCTGTAGGCCCAGTGGACAGTTGGAAAACTGAATTGCCCTTTCTGTGGGGCCCGTTTAGGGGGCTTTAATTTTGTCAGCACTCCAAAATGTTCCTGTGGCCAGCTTGCAGCTGTACATCTCTCTAAGAGCTGGACCGATTATCAGCCAACACGGGCAGGCCGACTAATGAGACCATCGCTGAAATACTTGTCACATCCTAGAGTTCAGTCAGGTTGTGACAAGGAAACTCTGCTGACAGGTGGCGCCTCCAGAAACAGAAATCACGGGGTTTTAAATATGGCCCAAAATAATAGTGGCTCTGGAAGATTAACAGAAGCACTCTGCCTGGAGGTACGGTCAACATATTTTCAGATGAAGAATGAAAAACTGCTCTTCAAAGCATCAGATCCAAAATACCAGCTTTTTGTTCCTCAGCTTGTGACTGGCAGATGCACTAGAAGAGCTTTTCATAGGAAATCACATAGTTTGGATCTGAACATCAGTGAGAAACTGACTTTGTTACCCACTTTTTATAAAATACATAGTAAGACTGCTGCCTGTCCCAGGCTAAATGAAACACAGCCTATTCACCTTTCAGGCTTGCCTTTAGAATCTAGTAAAAATAACTGTTCCTTTCAGATTTCATCCAATTTTGATCCTAATATGCTGCTGCAAAGATTTTCAGTGGCTCCCCGTGAGACCCAGACACAAAGAGGAGGAGAATTTCAGTGTGGTCTAGAAGCTTCTGCAGTGTACTCTGACCATGCAAGTTCTAACAACCTGACTTTCGTGATGGACCTGCCCTCAGCTGGTAGGAGCATGCTGGAGGCCTCGGACCAGGAAGAGCCCCTCTCGGCACTGGACTTCCTGCGTTCGGGCAGTTTTTCACTGGGGACAATTAACCAGAGGCTCAGTAAGAGAGAAAGGAGCAAATTGAAAAATCTGAGAAGGAAACAACGAAGGCATGAAAGATGGCTACAGAAGCAGGTAATTTTTTGAAGAGGTTTACTAAAAATTCTGTATTATAAAATCTTGGGGTTTGGGGAGAGGAGCTAACTTTGAATACCTATATTATAAAAACATGGTTTTAATGAGTGTTGAAATGACATTTCTGTCTAGGTGAACTTCATAGTCATGCACCTCTCTTAAAATCGGCAAGTGTAAACCTGTCTCTGTTCACATATGGTTAGGGAATGTCCTTTCGGGAAGTTTTCCTAAATCCTAGTATTTTACATGAATACTAATCTCATGATGTTGAGGTGAGATTATCATATACATTTAAAATTTGTTCATGTTGGGATTGTTTGCAATGATTTTATCTCAGGTCAGTTTGAAACAAAGAAGTCTTTCTAATTTAATTGAGTGACAAATTAATTGACTTTCATCACTTTTAGCTTAAATGGATATTTTTAAGGAACATTATGTAGTTATGTGCTCGTATGATCCAGATATGGTTAAATCTACTGATTTGTGAAGTTTATCTTAATTGACCCTTATTGTAATTTTATAGGAAAGAGTGCTTCTCTATGGTTTAAACTCCTGTATCTATAATGATAGGTTCAAAAATGGTTATGCAAAAGTGCTGAACAATAAATTGCAGGTGCTCTGGAGACCAATTAAAGCCAGTGGATGAGGTGCTCATGAAAATTTGGAAGCTTGAGGACCAGTATATTTCTATGTACACTTTTTTTTGCAAATTGTCTTTGTTACCTACTTGTTTATAGTAAATAGCAATCCTTATTAATCAGTATGTTGAATATTAACAACATCCACAGAGCTTAAATATAGAAAGCTGCAACTTTGCATAATCATTTTTTTAAACAATTCAAACTCATTGCTTATGATCCTAGTCATAGACTGAATAGAATAAAATTACTGCATTGAGTGCTTCAATCAGGTTAATTATTTTTCATCATTTGGTTAGAGAGTATAATTATGGGTAATTATATTTTTGACTGGATGCTGACAAGAGCATTGTAGTTCGGTTTATTTGCAGGTGATGGTGTAATGTAGCATCAAAGCATATATTGTAGAATGTAAAAAATGAATATATTTTAGCACCATTATAATATACTTCATGTTTAATATATTGAGTATATATTGAAGCTATGAAATACAATATTTTTTATTGAAAATTTGACTTAAACCCATAGATAAATTGGGGATGGACATATGTTAAGTGAATATTCAGAAAGTCTACCTTAAAAACGATATAGAGGGCTTCAAATAACTCTCAAACAAATAGAACTTTAAAAGAAGTATAAAAATTATACCTGCTCTGTATTCTAAATTTATGCAGGTAACATCTTTGCAATTTAAAAAAATGTGTTTAATTCTTGAGCTGGGTACTTCTGAGAAATTAAACTATATTACTGATCATTTTCCAGCATAGGAACATTATTTTTATACAAGTTAAAGCTAAGCAAGACCAACATCAGTGTTGGGTTTGTTTGTTTGTTTGTTTGTTTTAAAGGGTACTTTTATTCATTCACATACATGTGGTTTAACCAAACTGCTTGGCTAGTGAACCAGAACGAAGGAATTCTAGTCAGACCCGTGGCAGGTCGGTATAGGGAGTACTACGACAGGGTCCTAGAGGGCTGTTTGGTTGCACGGGATCTACCGGCAAACAAATGCCGAATGTATCCTTAGCAAAGAAAACGTAAAAGTCTGCAGAAGCATGGGAGTGGCATATGAGTTAGTGATGTGAGTGCACACTCACATCACCAGTTAGAGCCCTAAAGAAGAATTTTTAACGGTTTTGTTATTTCAAGCCAAAAGATAAGTCCTGGAAAGATTTCATCCCTGAGATAAATTAATGGCTTAGCTATTCAGCTCATTCCATCTTTACTAAAGAGTAGTTAATTCTGTAAACATTTATCAAATACGTGTTTCATATACCATGCCTTTGAGTAATGACTTCAACGTAGATCCTGCCCTTCTTTATTTTTAAAAGATCCATTTATTTATTTTAGAGAGTGAGTGCTCACACAAGTGGGAGTGACTAAGGGAGAGAGAAAGAGGAGAGGGGAGAGAGGGAGAGAAGCAGACTCCCCACTGAGCACAGAGCCAGATGTGGGGCTCCATCTCAGCACCCTGAAATCGTGACCTGAACTGAAACAAGGGTCTAACACCTAGCCAACTGGGCCACCCAAGTATCTCCTGCCCTTTTTTAAAAAAGGAAGATAAACATACAAGATATAAAGGAAAGGTTACCTATTGTTAATGATAATATTTTTTAAGTTTAAAATAATTGGTTGGGAAATCTAGATTTAGGACTTTCATTTGATATTTTAGTAATTTTTCCTCCCACAAACTAGACATCCTTATGTGGCAGATACCATAATAAAAATGTTAATGACACTATAAAAAGTTATTTAAATTTTTGAAGCTTAAGGGTATAAATGGGATTAATATTGAAATAGAAACTAAAATTAATTTTCAGTGTTTTATTCAACAGATGTTAATTAAACTTCTACTTTGGGGGAAAGACAGTGCTGAACAAACCTCTTTTCTTATTCACCATAACCTTGTTGGGTTTCTGTTTTAGTTTTTTAATTACTATGCAATAAAATATATTCTTGGCATATAGCTCTATGATCTGAACACACAGATTGATATAACAACCACCACAGTGGGGATACAGAGTAGTTCCATCACCCCCAACATCTCCCTTGTGCCTTTATAGTTGTGCTTTGATTGTATCTTTATAATTATATCCTTGTCCTATCTCTAATCTCTGAAAACCATTGATCTGTTCTCTATTACTTTAGCTTGTCTTTTGATGATATAAAATAATAATGTAATGCTATAAAATTAGAATCATATAATATATAACCTCTAGAGACCAGCTTCTTTGATACAGTACAGTTGCCTATGAGATTCATTCAAGTTGTTGAATGTATCTATTGTTTGTTCTTTTTTGTTGCTCAGTAGTATTCTATTATACCAATAAACTGCAGTTAGTTCATTGTCCTGTTCAAGACAAGGGAGTTGTTGAAGGTTTGGGCAGTTATGAATAGAGCTGTTCAAACCATTCCTGTACAGGTTATCCTGTGAACCTAAGTTTTCATTTCACTAAGGTAAATACTCAGGAATGAGAATACTGGATCGCATGGTAAGTATATATTTAACTCTGTAAGAAACTGTCAGACTGTTTTCCAGTTTGGAAAATGGTTATACCATTTTGTATTTCAAGACCTGGTATATGAGAATTTCCTTTGCTGTGAGTCCTCACTTACGCCTGGTATTCTCAATATTTTTTAAAATTGTTGGAAGTGGGTATGTAGTCATATCATATTGTGGTTTTCGTTTGCATTTTGCTGATGGCATTTTCCTAATGATGTTGAACATTTTTCATATGTTTATTTTTCCATTTGTATATATTGTGTAGGGAAGTGTCTGTTTAGATATTTTGGTCATTCTTAATTGGGTTGTGTTCATTGTGTTGAGTTGTGAGAGTTCTTTATTTTGGATATAAGTTTTTCATCGCATATGTGATTTGTAAAGATTTTCTCTGAGTTTGTAGTTTGTCCTTTTTGTCTCTTAATTTTTTTTTCCCTGTGAAGCAAACATACTTAATTTTGATAAAGCCTAATTTCCCATTTTTTTAAATGGATTATGCCATTGGTGTCATACCTAAGACCTCTTTTGCCTAATTCTCAGGTTATAAAGATTTTTTCCTAATGATTTAGGTGCTTTTAGGCTTCATCTAAAAGTTTTTTAATTTTAAGTACCACATTAAGAATTACGATTCATTTTGAGTTTATTTCTTTTTGATAAAGTGTGAGGTTTCAGTTGAGGTTTGCTGTTTTACATAGAGTGCTTGATTGTTCCAGCACCGTTTGTTGAAAACACTGACCTTTCTCCATTGAAATGCTTTTACAACTTTGTCAAAGACCAATTGGCTGTATGTGTGGGGGTTCTGTTTCTGCATTATCTATTCTCTTCAGTTCATTTTTGTGTCTCTCTCATTGCCAGGAGTCCTTTCTCTTAGTTTTTGTAGCTATAATAAATCATAAAGTAGGAGTCTGTGATTCCTCTAACTTAACTGTTCTTTATTAAACTTGTTTTATTTATTGTAGTTCCTTTACCTTTTCATGTAAAATTTAGAACCAGTCTGTTTATTACCAAAAAAGTCCTGTGGGGATTTTGATTGTAATTATATGAAATCTGTAGATCAACTTGGGGAAAATTGAAATCATTACTGTGTTGATTTTCCCAATCCTTGAACATGGTATGTCTCTCCATTTGTTTAGGTCTTTGATTTCTTTCATCCATATTTTTACACTTTTTTAGCATTCAGAACCTATGCATGTTTTGTTAGCTTTATACCTATTTACTTTTTGATGTTGTTAATTTTTTAAATTTTTATATTGCTATTAATTGTATATTGCTAGTGTACAAAAACACAATGGATTTTTGTTTTGACTTTGTATCTTGTTATTTGAAAGTACAGATCTTTTGACATCTTGTCAGATTTATTCCTAAGTATTCATATTTTTTCTGTTGTAAAATCATACTGTTTTATTAAGTTTGAATTTCCAGTTGTTCATTGATAATATGTAGAAATAAAATTGAGTTAGTATGATCTTATATCTTACAACCTTTCTAATCTAACATAGTAGGAATAGTAGTTGTTTTTTAGATTCCATTGTATTTTCTAGTAGATGATCATAGTGTCTGCAAATAAATACAACATTACTTCTTCCTTTCCAATCTAGAATCTTTTTTCTTTTTTTCTTCCCCCCTCCCTTTTTTTTTATTTTTTTTTTTGGTTATTGAAGTAGCTAGAACATCTAGTACAGAATTGAGTAGAAATGAGGAGAACAGACATCCTTGTCTTTTTCCTGATATAAGGAAGGAAGCATTCAGCCTCTCACCATTAAGTATGTTAGTTTTAGGTGTTTTGTAGATGCCCTTTATCAGGTTGAGGAAGTTTCCTTATATTCCTAGTTTGCTGGAAGTTTTATTATAAATGGATGTTG